TGCGCCGGGCAGGCGTGACGGCATTCAAATGGGGTGTAAACACTCCTAGAAAAGAGTCCCACTTCTCAGACGTCGTCGCACTTCCATAGACGAGAGACCAGTCGGCGTTTACAAGCAAATCATTGAAATAATCAAAATCAACTCGATTCAGGCAGCGGGATGTGATGATATTGGTTTGGCGTTTCTCTTTCGATACTTTCAGCAATATTCGCGTGAAGTCATGCGGACTATAGTGACAGGCGGTGACACCACAGCGTTGGATGAGGTCCTTGTGATTTGTGATCGTACCATCTATCAGCGAGCCAGCAGGACGGTACGTTGGATAGGAATCGTTACACATATGCAGATTGCAAGACCGTAACAGTTGCATCAATTTCTGATAGCCAGTGCCTGTGCTCGAGCCAATCAGGTTGATGTTTAAATCACCGGCGATCACTGTTAGGCAGTCATGTGTGGACATTATACATTGTAACTGGTTCTCCAAATCATCGAGATCATCAGACACCTGCCGGGCTGTGTCAGTGAGATGTCGGTACAATGACCCGAAAATAATCTGTTTTGCTTTAGCGGGTCGAACAAGGGTTCAAATAATCTCAAGATTCGATAAACCAACGGCAGTATGAGGCGTTTTCAGAACAGTTACATCAAACGAGTCTCGCGCCAGAACTGCGACCCCTCCGTAACCTCTAGGCAGTCCGCTGTCTGCAGGCCGGTCGTGTCGGTACAGCCGGTACCGATCAATGTTCAGCAGCCGGGCGGGGACAGATGGCCGCAGCCACGTTTCACTGAGTGCGAGAATATCAAACTGATGCATATCAGCTAGACTGGGACGCAGATCTGGCAGTTTGGGCTTCAAACTTTGCATGTTTAACTGCGCGATGTATAGTTCACCCGCACGGCAATCGCCGGGCGCCCGCCACCTCACCCTTCCCCCACAGCCCCGGCGCTGCGATCGCTTGCCCCGGCGCGCCGGGCGGCTGAGTCTGAGTGTACTCTGGTGGTCGCGGGCCTGACTCACCTGAGTCGGGCCCGCCTGAGTCAGGCCCGCGACCACCAGAGGGCCGGCCCGCGCTCACGCCCGCACCCAAGCCGGCCAAGACAATTCTGGGCTCGCCCCTGGCCGCCGCGGTGACCTGGCGCGGTCCGCGCTCAACAGCTGACCCCGCATGGCCCGAGGGCACGCGCCGAGCCGGGAGCCAGGGATTTGGGGCCGGCACGGTGGCCCGCACGATAACCTGGGCGACCGCCAAGGTCACGAACAGGCGGAGCACCTGGCGATTCATTGCAGAGCGCAGGCTTGCCGCTAGCTTGCTAGCTTGTCCGCTCCAGAACTGGAGCGGAGATGGTTGTAGTCGCGTTGTATATAGGCTCAGAAGCCGCCGGTAGTTGTCGCCTCGAGCCCGTCGCTGCACACCGGCAGACAGGTGGTCCCTTCTCGGTAGTCACAGTAGTCACGGTAGTAGGTCGCGATTCACGTGATCAGCGAAATGATCCCTTCACCTTCCCACTCGCGCACAGTCACTCTCACTCTCACACTGCCACTAAAACTGTTTACGAAACATGGTAACCGATCAGCTAAAAGGCCACTGGGTCGCGAGGTGGGGAGAGACCACCGCGCGTCCGCCACCAGCGCCGCGCTCAGTGGAACTGAGCGAACTGAGCTAAGAGTGTTTTGCGTTCACAGTGACTAAGAAGTGGATTAATGAGAAAAGCGAGGGAGTGTTCCTGAGCGAACTTTGCTCGATGACTTGTGTGTTTGAGGCTCAATCGTTGTCGTCTCACTGTGTAAGCACCAGGCTGTGTTTCTCTAGTGCTGTGTCTAAGCCATGCAGCAATGGCTGTCGCTTCACACCAAGCTGTGATGCACATTTGCTGGCCATTATAACCTTTATTTGTGGGGTCATACCGGGGAAATGAGTATGGAGTGGGATGTTTCGAACAAAATATGGGAGCCCAAACTTAAGAAATATAGCTATTGGACGTCCAGATAAATACCTACTCACCGAGCAATGCATTTATGAATGCGTTTTCATTAAAAAATGATAAATGAAAATATTTATTTCGTTTATTCAATCTCATCACTTGTCCGTTTTGCTCCGAATACTGCTTCGTTTTGCTCCAAGCCAGGGGCAAAATGAGAAAAAAAAACATTGCCTGATATTTAGGATCACACTTTAACGTGAAGAGATATCAAACCAGCGCTTTTGTAAGATATGGACAATTGATCAGACTTCAATATCCACCTGCTAAAGACTTTCTGGACAGACTTATGAACTTCCCATATTAAAAAAACCGTTAAGGTGTCCGCCTTGTCCGTTCTCCCCTACGTCAAGGGTCAACAAAAATACAAAAACCAGAAAAATAGGGTCGCGGGCAAACCCAGGGTCCCAGCCTATGGCACTGATCAGCATGATACCTTTGCCAATCGGTAGGGCATGTAAGGACAGTGTATCTACTATGGCAGTTGTGAAAAAGCTTTTGATATACCGGATATGATCGGTGACAAAAGCTGACACTTTTGTGAACCAATGAGTGACAAAATTGCGAAAATGCAAACCAATCTCAATAGACCAGACCACATTGCAACTTACCATCCCAGCCAAACAAAACCTATGGCTTTGTATTGGTCTGTGCTCGGTAACACTTGCAGCGTGGGCATGTGTAGAATGCATGTCGAAAGGTTGACGTTTCGCTGCATGAGTAAATTAAGTCGCAGTATGCTGCCAAGCATAGTAGCTCTAATCAGGATAGTTCTTAGTAGGCGCCGGAAATAAACTACAAACTATACTATATCAGTGTTGACGTCTCAGATCAGCGGTGACCCAGTGCTTTTCCAATGCTCCTAGTATCAGTGCTTTTCACAGATTTTTCAGCCAAGATTCACTTTACATACTAAACAGAATAAAATGCCAAATAACTGGGCTTATAACTAGTCGTAAGGATCATAGCTGGCCGCAGCATCCTCCGACGAACGTGATAAGTTTGCTATGCAGCGTTTCAAAGTGTCGTGCCATTTGAAACAGATGGGCTCGAAGGCTCGCCGCGCGGTGATGCGTTAGATTCAATGCAAGGTTGTGGGCTGCTGTTAGTTGTGTTCATGGCGTGGGAAGTCGATTGACCATAAGAATATAGCTAATCGTCAGTTTTTAATGCAATAGCGTTAAAAAGCCGTGCCGATCTAGGATTGTTGCTTGTGAGTATCTGAGCTGTAGCTCCAGAGGTAAACGGAGTACGTTGGAGCAGCACATGGCAAAGATTCATCCGGGGCTTTCTGCTGCTGAGAGTAACAGCGGCTTTGAGGTAAGAGACTAAACATCACTGTTGTAGGCTCCTCACATTGCCCGTTGCACCTCTGGCTTAGCGGACTCATCGGTGGACAGTCGTGAGATAAAACGCTTTTTATTTTCATACGGTTGCATATGAATCTGAACAAAGGTGGTAGAGGTGTTCAAAAATAGCGTTTGCATCTGTTGATACCAAAATTGCACGGATTTTTTTTCTAAATGAATGGGATCATAGTGGCAAGTGTGAGGTCTACACCGGTAATGATTATACGAAGATAGTGAAGGTCGCCCTAGGGCTACAGAGATGCAGTTTTGCAAATACGTAGGGTTGATGGATCAAAGGTGGGAGGGAAGAAAAAAGGAATGAGTCTGCCCCACAAAATGCACTCATAACAGTTTACTCCACAGATTTGACGCACTTCCTTTTCACAGTTGGGAGCAGGAGTGTAGTGTCTTAAAATTAGTTTGTGGGACTAAACCCTACAAAATGCGGTTAATGAAGAATAGCGCTTAAAAATGATGACTAAAAATGGGGAACTACATCTATGGTTAGGAACCACAATCCCCTTCCCTTATTTGAATAGGAAATCACACGTCTTCAGGCTGGTTATGTTAAGTATGCCTTTATCTGATACTTTATCAATTAAGCCTCAACCATTTTCAATGCTTGATGGCCAGCAAATGATATTTGAGTGCAAATGAAATCGCGATAAAAGTTTCGTGGTTACGACGCATCACATTAAATTTGTCTTCGTTTTGTGCTTAATTGCATTTAGAGTTCATGGCAACGGTTTCTGGAAGATTCGGCTGCAGGTGACAATTTAGAAGGTTCCAAATTTCATCTGTGACAGAAAAGGCACCTTTTTCACACTTGGTCTATGGTGCATCGATTCGTGACGGTTTGTTTCCGATTGGTATAATAGAATCGTAACATGGGGTTGTCCTCTAACCAATTTCAGAGGGTTTCGGCCGATTTTGGTGACTTTTGACGTGTACCAAGGTCACCATATTCTGGAAAAAATAGGATATCGACTATGGCGCATCGATTGGTTGAAAGTTTCATGCTGATCGATGCCATAGGCCCGAAGCATGGGTTGCCTGGAACCCTATTTTTCCTGTTTTTGGTATTTTTGGTGACTTTTTTTGGTGACCTGAATCAAGGTTGTCATGTTCTGGATAGAATTAAATATCGACTATGGCGCATCGATTGGTGAAGGTTTCGTGCTGATCAGTGCCATAGGCTCGGAGCACGGGGCCGTCTGCAGCCAATTTTGGTAGTTTTGGGTATTCCTGGTGACCTTCAACCTGTACTTGACCTTTTGGTGACTTTCAACCATGTATCCAAGGTCAACATGTTCCGGAAAGTCCAGGATATTAACTATGGCACAGCAATTGATGAAGATTTCATTCTGATCGGCGTCATAGGCTCGGTGCGTTGTGTTGTTTGCGGCCCTATTTTTACGGTGTTTGTATTTTGGGGACCTTTATCCTGATTCAAGCTCACCATGTTATGGAAAGGATAGGTTATCAACCAAGCGGCACCGAATAGTAAAGATTCCATGTCGATCAGTGTCATAGGTTTGGAGCAGCGGTATGTCAACAGGTTTGGTCCGCAGTTTAGTCCTTTCCTATTAAAGACTTTGGGCGCAACCGTACGTACATAAACAGTTACCATGGCAACGAGTTAATCTGCGCCACCGTTGTTGTCTGTGTGTGTGTGTTTTTGGTGTTTCGTGTTCGATGCTTGGGGAAGTGGGTTGATTTTGTGGTTTCGTGGCATTTCGGCACTTCCCTACTTTTTAAGAAAACATGGGAGGAGGGTTGAAAATTCACGTCATTTACTGGTAAGTCATGCTGATTTGTTTGTCATTCACGGTTAAAGGCGATTTATCAGACATTGGTTGGGCTGGCGCATGCCTAGCATCCTAAAATTGCGGTAGGTGCCGTCCATATATTACGTTAATGAAAATGTCAAAAATGTTCATGAAAATCATGATACGCAAACTGGGCTTAAGTGTTTAAAGATGTTTAAATCCCAAAGTGCCCACCCATATTTTATGGAACGTATAAAAAACTGTTTATGGAGCGTCGGGGGTGTAGCAAAAGCGTGACAATGGGAGTGTGTGCATGGGGGTGGGGGGGGGGGGGGGGATGGGGGAGGGCAACGTAACGCTGCACTCAGTTGTTTCCGACAATTCTGTTCAAATATTTTGAAACGTTTTAAAACGTTAAAGACTTACCGTTGACTTCCAGTTATGACAAGTGGCACGTCTGTCTGTTTCGTATATCTAGCCCACTTAGAGGCCGAACGGACGTTACCTTTTTGGGACGTTATGCTTACGCTTGCTACAGCGTTACCAGTTGGCTGGGTAGTAGGTTTCCCCTAACGTAACTAGCACGTGTCCAAAAGGGAGAGAGGGTTGCAAGTTTACAGCAAGTGCATGAAGGGGGAATAGTTGAGACTCAGTCACACCTGCCTCCCCCCCCCCCCCCCCCCAATTCCTGCGTTATTGCCATTGCGTAACCAGGAGCAAGGGTAATGGAATTTGGCAAAAACATGCTTACGTAGTTAATGGAAGTATGTCATGGTTTCGAATTCATCTCGTCATTCATGTTATTGTCGCGTTGCAGTGGCGCATGAGGGTACGCTTCGAGGTTCCGCGACGTCAAAGCGGAACTAGAGAAGACGTTCCCTAGGGAGTTGGACATCGTAAGTGTTGCCGCTGGCCATAGCGGTGTATGCCAAATTTTGCAATAAGAAGGAAGTGCACAACTCCCAGTTGTACATCCAGAAACACATTTTAGCGCGGCACAGGCGCGTGAGTTTCCTGCCATCGCGTATCCAAAGCAAACAGACGTATTTCATACACTTCTTAGGGTGTCTGCCTCGACTTGTGATTTGATTGAGTTCGTAAGTGCATAACCATGCACGCAAACATTTGATGGCGGAGTGACGGATTAGGGCATGTGCCCCCCGTGCTCTCCATGAATACGCCCCGGACTGAGCATCTTGGCGGGGCATATTAGCCGGGGGCTAGGTGACGGCAAAGAGCAAATGACACAGACAAGTCTGCTGAGCGTGGTGCCCGCCACTCGGGTTAGAAGGGGGAGGGGAGCGTAATTACAAGTACCGCCCAACCAGATAGCTGCTGAGCAACACACCCATGAAGCAAGGTCATTCAGGCATGTACGACGCCATAGAAACGCCATTAAAAGCCTGCCAACCCATTGGCCGGGCGGGTTCAGGGCCGAGAAGTATAAAAGTACCTGAAAAGTGCCTGTTGTAATATGGGTGTCCGAAACTTGGGTCCGCTAGAGTTTGCGGTCGGGGTCGGACGTGCGCGAGGTCGCTCCGCCGCGGAGTATTCTTCCGTCTTTGGTTCAAACGGTAGTGGCGGAAATGTGTACGGCATGGTATTCGGCGGCGGAGCGACCTCGCGCACGTCCGACCCCCACCGCTACCTCCAGCGGACTCAAGCTTCCGACACTTATATCATGTAGGTTTCAGACGCTTATATTCTTCTTGGTATTGAATGCCGCCTGGCTTATGGAGTGGCAGGATTTTAATGACGTTCCTATGGCGTCATGCATGCCTGAATGACCTTGCTCCGTGGGCATGTAACTTGGCATCTAGAGGGTGTAAGGTCTGAAGAATGGCAAAGCCGTGAATTGCACTGAATAATGTTTAAAATGCCTATTTCGGTCCAAAATCCCGTACAGGTTTTTGTTACACACAACACTCCATGTAAGGGATGTCGGTCTTGTGATAATCTGTGTCTAGAAAGTAAGATCCGGACATTCCTGGCGGAATATATGTGCGTGCTGGGACCCGTCATAAGTCTTAAATGTCATGCTCAGATTGTGTACATGTTAGCACGGCTTTAAGTGTAACAAACAGCCTTCATGACCATGGTCTGCGTAAATACAGTCATTGAATGCTCAGAATGATTGTAGAATAGCCTAAATGCAATGCAGGTTGATATGTTTGATAGTTCTCGGTGAAAATACAGATTATTTATTTTATTTGAGTTAACGCAACTGGATTCCATGGAAGTATTTTGAAATATGGAACAAATTTGTTCGATCAAAGCCCATTTTCTTCCCCTACAGCCGGCTGTGACGTGAAAGGCTTTGGTTGACCCTTTAAATGGTCTGAGTGGGATGCAATTGATGACGTCCGTGCTCCCGTAAGCCATGTCACGTGAGAAGAGTTCATGACTTTTTGGAGCAGTTTTGTCGTACACAGCTCCCAGTTCAGCGTCTAACGCGATGTAGCTGTATATATAGCGGCGTCACCCGCGCTCACGTGCGCCAATATAACCGCCATTTTAGCGCACATGAAATGGTCCGTGAATTGGTGTCACCACCGCATTGTAACGCGAACTCGACCTGCACTTTCCTCAGACCTGCGAAGGAACTGTCAACGTCACCGGGTACTTCGAGGTCCAGATCGTCGGCGGCAGACTGCTGCACTCCAAAAAGGTTCGCCGTTCACTTCTTGGGGCAAAGGTCAACATGAAGCAGCTTGCGGAGGGATAAATTATTTTAGTGGGCAGTCTGACATTACTCTAATGTTATGCACTATTGCGCTTCTGATTTGACACGTTTAGTTTGACCTTCGCCAGCTGGATATGCTTCCCCATCTTCCCCCGTGGTGGATACGAGATACCACTCTCCCGAAAGTACAATGCCACACAGACGGCAGCCATGCACGTGGTCTACAACTTGCACAGACTCATGTCAAACTGTCTGCTACGGTTCGCTGTGGCGTCCGATCAAAGGACGGCGAGTAATGTCTCTGCCGTCCGCGAAACTCTTTCATGGGTCCGCTTGGCAAAGCCAATGGTTCAGGCTTCAGGCCTAAGCAAGATCCATGTTGCGGTGCTTATCGCCGTCATCTGAGCTCTGACCACGGCCATCGTCGTTTTGTTCACCTTCAGTTATGAGTGAGTTGGTGCGTCGTAAAGAGTACGCCAACATAACCTTGCGATCTTCTAAATTTGCTCCGTGTTTATATACAACGTACTGCTGTATCTATACAGCAGTAATAAACACACACACATACACACACACACACACACACACACGCGCACACACACACACACACACACACACACACACACACACACACACACACACACACACACACACACACACACACACACACACACACACACACACACACACACACACACACACACACACACACACACACACACACACACACACACACACACACACACACCACACACACACACACACACACACACACCACACACATGCACGCACGCACGCACGCACGCACGCACGCACGCACGCACGCACTATATATATAATGGGTAAATCTGATATTACCTCGACATCCGGGCGGATGTAAATACACTGGTACGGATGTGACGTACGTTACAGCCACTTGACAAGGGTCGTGAGATGGTCAGATGCGTCTCGAGAGCTTAGAAGTCTCGGGGGGTCTCTGGGGCACTAGCGTGGTTAGAAGGTTGGTGATCGCCGCACTCCGAAATGGATTTTAAAAAAGCTTATGGATCATCTATGGTAGCTGAAATGATGCCAGCCCGGCCCTCGCACGCTGGTGACACGGGCACCCGGCCACCCCCAGAATGGCGACGGCTACGTGGACACGCCGGAGAAGATGAACCACATAGTGCAGGGCATAAAGGACGCGCTGGCCGCCTGCTGAGCTGGCTGGCTGAGCTGAGCCCGACCGCGTGCTGAGCTGCCGGCGGCGGGCTCAGCCAGCCTCCTCCCGCACGGTGAGCGCTGCTCCAGCAGCGGCTGTCGGGCCCAGTGCCTTCCAGTCCGCTGCATGTTGGACTTGGCCTGCCGCGGTGAGTCGTCCGCGCGGAGTCGCATGCGTGTTATTTTCTCACGATGTAGCATGCTTCCGTTTGTCTGTGCACATATATTATAACGAGTGACAACATGATATCTAGGCTTCTCCATCAGTTTTCCATCTCATGCCCGTATAGATAGCGTCGCATCCACATTCGCATTCAACGTCGTGTTTCGATTTCATTCAGACGTTATTCTTTTGGTCAGCCTCACCAAATTTAAAAAATGAGATGTGTTCTGCTTTTAGGTTAGTTCATTATTTAAAATCAAGTTTCTGACGACGACGGGAGCTTAAATGACACTAAACGGGCATCTTCAGCGTCAAGTTGTAGTTCGTGGCCTATACTTATGGTTGCCAAGATCACCATAACTCGAGGTGTCCCTACAAGGTTTCCATCCTTTCCTTTCCTTTTTTAAATTTATCCCGAATGGTTTGTATGGGCGATTTCGGATTCAGAGTAAAGGTTAAAGGAAGAGTAATTTGATGCCGACCAAATTTATTACATCCAACTGGGCGGCGATCAAATGACCTTATATATCCTAACATTTGGGTCGCGTCCCATGGTTTGGTCGTTATGAGTAGAAAAAAAGAAAAAGCAGTCATATTGGCCTCATTGCTCGTTGGTGGTGTCATCGTTGGTTGGGTGCCATGGTTTTGGCGGATAAAAGATTTCTCTCGTTTGACCTTGATGTTGACATTGAGTGGCGATTTTGAAAGCACAAGAAATGAACGCTGAATACGATAAGGGCGCGTATTTCATGAGCAGTTATACTTCCAGTATGGCGAGTAGTTTCAAAGCGAACTTTTTCCTTTTCTAACTCGAAAATTTATTGGCGGAATAGCTTCATGGATATCAGCGCACATGAAGACCGCGTCATGAGAAGATGCTCGTAAGGTTATCATTATCATTTCATTCTGGATAGTTATGGTATGAGACAATCGGAAACTGAGGCTCCTTTACTGGACCTGATAGTGACGCCTCAGGACGCTAACTTTAGGTGGAAATCCAGGTATCCGAAGGCGGCTCTGATCTGACTCGCTATCTGTTGAAAAGGCTTATCAAAGCAAAGACTGAGTGAATCTGGCAAATCCGGCCGATGCATTCTAATTTTTAAAGGGAGCGTGCACGTTTAAATGGGATTTTGAGCTGAAACAGCCATCTTGAAGACCTTTCGGTGTTGTTCACAATCCGCCGTTCTTAAGGCCTGCCCCTCTAGTTTCCGAGCTATACGCCCGCGAAAATGGGGATAGGTATATTGAGAAAGGTATTTCAGTCATCTTGTGATTCCTGACGTCACAATAACGTCATCCAAATCCTGCCATTCCATAAGCCTCGCGGCGATCAAGGCCAAGAAATATAATTGTCCAGGCGTTCATATCTGGTGTTCGTGAGCGCGATTTTCAGATATAACGGCCTTCAGTTGGCTCTCAATCAATGCAATCGATGTTGTGCGAGGTACATTCGCGTAATGAACCATGATGTCTTGAGGAGTATTACTCAACAGGAAATTGAAATGCCTAGAGCAGTCCTTTCCACTTAAAAAGTGTACCAAGAGTTTTAAGTGGGCCTGGCCCAACATATCTTATGCTTTCCTTAATGTCATCACTGTGAAACATTCCGTTCAAAGGTAATGTTTGTTTGGGAATGCAAGGTACGATGACGTAATCAAGCCATGTGGGGCATATCAGGATTGGAGGATTTAAACTTGGGGACAGCCTGATTTTATCATGTTTTGCAAAAATGCGAAAGCGTCTATTCTGCTGGCAAGACTGAAGGTGACAACATCTATTGCGGAAAAATTAGAGGGAGCTTTACTCGCCCGGCCCACTCCCAGTGGTTACACTTATGGTTTCGGAACAAAGAAGAGAATCTATCTACGTCAACAAAATGAGGCAGATGCGGGACACGTGACGTATCATGGAGTAACGCGTTTATGGAGAGGAAGGGTGGGGCCACAACAGATCGGCAGGCAAGCTGCATGATACGCAGCGCAGTCACACAATCACACCCAATCAACCGAGGCACCGCACGAAACGATACAGCGACTCCTCAAGCTCGAGGGCGGGTCAGACCAACCGCAGGACTCATGTCAGAGCCGACCGAGCACAGCTTACTGCATTGAGCGACTTTGATACTGCAGTATTCGAACTTTCAAGCGCTATGCTGTGTGGTATGCTGCTTTGATTCATAAGGTTATGCAGGTGTGTTGATTTTGTCTGGACGTGGTGCGTGGGCCGCAAGGTGCTTGCTGCCAACACCGCACGGTCCATCCAACGTGCATGACAGTGTACAGTTTTGTCGCATGACTGCGCTTCCTCAGTAGGTGGTTGACTGCGCGGCATCTGATGACGTCACCGCTCCTGTGACGTCCGTGGCCGAGAGCTCAGCGAGCTGGCAGCGGGCCGATGTCCGGCGGAGACGTGACCGGACGCCGCTGGTGGTCCGCGCCTGCTCACACCTGGTCTGACCCAAGTCGGTTTTCGTTAGAAGATGTGTGCTTCATATCGCTATAAGCAAAGGTAATAGGTATATATATATATATATATATATATATATATATATATATACACGAAGCACATTTCTTCACTTGATACTAAGGGCAAAATAAATTTTGGTGCGATGTGCAGTCGGCAACCTGCCGCGTTTGCATGCAATTTCCGTTATATCCACTCTAGCGGCATCTTCCAGACGCTGTCAATGGATACAAAAGTAATGTGTTACCAGTATGTCGAGCTACCGCCTGTAACATGTGTTTTAATACACTGAGTCAGAACATGTGATGGTTTCATGGCTCAGCCCAGACTGTGGAGAGTGATGAACATCTTAAGCGACTAGGAAGCATAGAAATGTAGCCGCGGCCGGCTTTCGGGAATCAAGAATGGGGAGGGAAAGGAAAGAGTTTGTGATATCGCTTACATAAGTCCTTTTGCGCTAATAGCGTTAGTCAGGAACCGGATTCGATATCAAATCTGAATTACGCGAAAACCAGGGCTAATAGGAGCGAAACCATTGTGATATTGTCAGGCGTATGAAAATGGCCGGTCATGTTGACTTAGAATGCGCTTCTGCTTCGCCATTGTATGCCTCGTCATTTCACGTTTGCGGTACTTTATGATTTGGTCCCATTAGAATAAATTGGCAGGTGTAAGTTGAACAGGCACATGATTACAGCAGAGGCGCTTTTGTACCAAGCCATACGGACTGCCTCGGGGCTAGAAACTATGAGTTTTCGATTCTGCTTATGATAGGTCTCGTTCATTTCAAATTATTAGCCCATTTCCGGTTGGATTATTAGGCAAAACTTACATTGAAATCCAAATTTGAATACTAAATCTAAAATGTACGAAAACAGGAAAGAAGCCCGTTGTCTTTCGCCGGGTCGATCAGAGAAGCCTGCAGATTATGCTGTGAAAGCGTCTTTGTTTCTTGTCCTGATGTGCCTATCCGTCTTGCGTTCACGAATTTAGTTCGATGAGATCAATTTATAAAATGCGAGGAAACGCGAAGTGACAAATAAGTTAACTATGAAGCAAAACGCCCCCGAAGTAAAAATGCATCAGCTACTTAGAAGACCTTACGAGATTCGATTGGGGTTACTCCCCTTTATGTTGGCTTTTGGGTATTTAAAATTTAGCATCAAATGGTTCTTGGTCCTTGTCGAGTAATGGTAGGAGGAAAGGAGACGATATTTACTTTTCAGCATTACTGGCGTGAGAAGAGTTGAGGATAACCGACAGGAGTAGAAACTGCATGGGAACAGAGTGCAAAAGGAAAGGGAAAGCATGGGAGCAGAGTGCAAAGAAGTGCCTACTTGCCTGTCATCGTGTGAAGCAGCTTCAGTGCTTCTTAGTGCAGCTTCATACAAATACCCGTGCGTCGATATCGGCAAACGATGTTGCGGGGAAAAACTGGTACCCATCTGTGATATCTGACCGTGGCTGGTTATCACGTAGATAAATTTCACGTGTTAAAGTTAGTAAAACGTTTTGGTTCAGTTGTGGCATACAGAAGCAAGGGTACTTAAAGCTGCAGATCCGATTACAACACAAAAGACCCATATGGTTACTGCATGTAGTTGACAAGACTGCTGTGTATATACCTTACAAAACGGTATGAGGCTATTACTACCCAAATTGTCAGTGCCTTTTTAAATTGGTGTCTCCAGAACAAACTGGGTTTAGAAAGGGTCGTTTTGTAGGTGAAAACAAGATTAACGGCGAATATCATTGATCATTGCAATATGTATCAGATGGGAGGATTAATGATTGCATGCGATTATCTGGACGCGTGCCATTCGCTGGAGCATGATTTCTATCTCTGCTCTTCGAGCGTACAATTTTGGAAAAAATAAACCGCGTCCGGCCGGGGTAGTTGACTTACCCCTACGGTTTTTCGAGCACGGGTTAAACAGCGAACGTTCATAATTACACAATTTGATCAGTATCTGCACATCTATCAGTTCCACACTTTTTGTGCTGGTTCGAAGTTTGATCCATCAATATCAGTGTACTAGGTCGGGTCAAACTCAGAGTATCAGTGTACTACTACTAAGGTCAAAAAGGTGGAGTTCTTCATGATTTGACTAGACCTTCACAGCAGCATCTTCGTTGTTTTCTCATACAGCGTCTGGAGGTTGGAAATTCAAATGCGGAAGTGAACTTCACCCCCCGGCCGGACGCCGGTTGTCTCAGACGCCCCGCTGGGCGCAGGTTAGCACGCTGCGGCACGCTTGTTGTTTGTGGTAATAACATAACGACTGTGTTATGTTCCAACATATGCGCTGGTATCTGCAGATTCTTGAAATGCATCTCAATGCAATCCGTGTGGAAGTGGCCAGGGTTGGTA